CAAAACCCATCACTAAAAGAATGGGTTTTGTTTTACAAATTAGCAATTAAAAAGTGACAAATATCTTCAATGCTTAAACTCTCTTCTGCTATACTCATTATGTTCAAATAATTCTTTCTCTGAGAACATGAGCATGTTCCTCAGTATTTCCTTTTTTTTCCCCCTTTCTCTCAGGAGTATCTCTGGGAGCTCTCTCTCTATAATCTATGGGGATTATGCAAATTATTTAATGAATAGTTTAAAATCACATTCCTTTTTTCTCGTTTCAAACTATAATATGGGTGGTTTATTTTGCTTTTCTGTTTCTTTTCCTATTTTTTTTTTACTGTTTTTTTTTTCCCCCCTCTATTTAATTTAATTATTTAACTTAATTATTTTAATTTTTTTGTTTCTTCAGTTTTCTTACTGGAGTAGTAACCATTAGGGAAAGTAAACTTTCTTTTTTTGCATGTGAAGCCTTGAACTGAGATTATTTCTCTATTTGAGCAATGGTTGTGCATGTTAAACGTGGCTTAAGGCAGCCAGTGCTCTCAGGAACAGGCTTTCCATGAGCTGATGTGTCTGAACTCTGGAATATTTTGTGTGGTTTTATTGTTACTATTTCCCTCCTTGTGCCAATTTCCCTGTAGAAGGTGGCACCACTTTAGCAGAATAACAAACATCAGCTGCTGGATGTGTTAATGCTGGGGAAAGCAATTCAGTATTGTGTTGCTGTAAATGATGTCTCTTTACTAGCAGGTTGGTTTATTATGACAAAAAATTTCAATTTTATCTGTTCTCCTGGATGTGAGGGTTTATTGTTTGTGCAAGGTACCAGCATACTCAAGAAACGATGAGAATAGTTCACCAGGAGAATAAAAAGTCTACTTCTCAGAGGAAGGAGGACAGAAACAACTCAGAAACTAGAAGAAGAAAAGGTGAAAAAAAACCATGGTGAGGGTGTAGGTCACTAGGTCAAATCAACAGGTCAGAGAGGGCTCTCACTGAGAGAATCCAAAATAATAGTTATGGATTAAGGAGAGTCAGTGACCACTGCCCTGGTGATCAGTAATTTCAGACAGTGCACTTAGGGATTCATTGAGCATTTAAAGTCTTGAAATAAATAAGGAAAGAATGAGTGTTTCTACTTCATCTTTGAAGCTGGACCTACATCTGAACTCCAATCTCAATTTGGGTTGGGTTGCTCATTTTGGGTTGCTCATTTGCACTCAGGTGTTGGCCTTGGAAGATGTGTGGGGAAGATTTTGGGTCTGTATAATTCCTTGGCATAGATAAACCAGCTCATTTGCCACCCCCCAGCATGCTTGTCCAGCCAGTATTAGTCTGATAAATTGGCTGCAGAGTCCTTTCTGTAAGGGTCTCAGGGTCATGGGCTGCAGACCCAGCTGGGATTTTAGGCAGCTGGAGCTCCACCTTCCCTTCTGGTATCAAGGATGCACAGCATTGAAGTGTTAGTGTTGGGCTGAGGTTTATTTTCCATGCTTCAGGTACAGCTATGGACTTGGGATCTCACAAATATCCCAGAAACCAAATTAAAAGCACCCTTGGAAGCAGTGCTGGGGTGTCCAGTGCAGCCTGAGGCTGCCCACTTCTGCAAGGGCTCAGGTGCCCTCTTCTCCTCTCTGCCTAAGGCCAAACTGTAGTAGTGGAAAACTACTGAAAGGTGCCTGTTTTTTCAGGACAAAATTTGTCATGGGAAGTAGAAAAGAACCTAGTGACTTCTGAGCCTGTGGAGGTGAGACAGTCCTAAAGGAGTTCTCCATAAAGAGAAACTTCTCTGCTGGGAGGGTGGCAGAGCCTGGCCCAGGCTGCCCAGAGAGGCTGTGGAGTCTCCTGCTCTGGAGAGATCCCAAACCCTCCTGGCTGTGCCCCTGGGCACCCTGCTGGGGGTGAGCTGCTGGAGCAGGGGTGGGATGAGATGATCCCCAGAGGTCCCTCCCAACCCCACCACGCTGGGATTCTGTGATTCTGTAAAACATCAGCAGAGTAACTGGGCAGTGTGTGTTGTTGAAGAAATTTGAGATAGATGAGATTTAAGTGGATCCTGCCTCCTTCCTCTTTGGGGGTTGTGTATCTAAATATGCAGTTTTCTTCTGTTGACAGAGTAAATGATGTTTATCAGAAGGAATAAGTCTGTTAGAGCAGACTGGGTGGCCATGGAAGACCTGTGTTCCTAGCTTCACTGTCTTGCAATGGAGTGTAAATAGCTTTTTTGGAACCTGTGATAGCTTTGATATAAAATAGGCCTTTCACATAATTAAACAATTCTCCCAGTCATGATTTTTAAAAATGTTTTCTGTGTTGACTTTAGCAAAATCAGATGCACTTTTCAGACAGATTCTTCATCACAGTCTAATTCTGTAGTGCCTCCAAAATGTCCTCATGGATAAAGCAGTATGAAGACATCAAGATTTAATGACACCTCTAATGCTGGGGATGAGGAGTGAAGAACTGCAGGCAGCAATGATGAAGCCCAAGGGTTTTATTTAAACTGAAATGTGTCCTCCTACCCCAAACCGTGTTTGCTTCTCAGCTGTGATACTGTATGCCTGTTAAGTCTGAAAAAGAGAAGAATTTGCATACCCTGCCTGTTAAAGGGTTGTTAATGAGCCTTGCCTGTGTGCTTCACCTCACTCAAAGGTGCTGCAGCAGGAGTTCAGGAGTTCTGGCACAGTGCACGTGGTCCTCCTGCAAGGAACTGGCACACATGCCTCTCTTCACGTGCAGTTTTACATGTACATGTGAGAAACAGGGATGAAAATAGGCTTCTATATGTTTTGTATAAAAATATACAAAGCCATTATTTGGTTAAAGACTCAAAGAGTGTGTCTAAGCTGTAGGTTCATAGTCTGTCTTCACAATGAGCCATGGAGCAGTTCCCAGCTCACTGCTCTAGACTCCCTCTCATCTGTGTCCCAACTGTTGGGATGAGACATGAGCACGCACTGGCTCCTCTGTACAGACAAACTTAGAAAGTTTTGGGTTGGAAGGGAGCTTTAGAGGTCACTCAGTCCATCCCCTGCAGGGAGCAGGGACATCTGCAGCTAGAGCAGGGTGCTCAGAGCCCCGGCCAACCTCCCCTGGGATGGTGCCAGGGATGGGGCAGCGACCACCTCTCTGGGCAGCCTGGGCCAGGGGCTCAACACCCTCAGGGTCAACAATTTTTTCCTTCTCTCCAGTCTAAATCTCCCTCTTTCAGTTCCAAACCATCCCCCCTTGTCCTGTCCCAGCAGCCCCTGCTCCAAAGTCCCCCCCAGGTTTCTGGCAGCCCTACCCTTCTTCCTTTCTGTTCCCTTTTAAATAATATATTTTATTAACTTTAAATTGGTGCAAAGCCTTTATTACCCCTGCCTTCCTTTGTTTATCTCTTTACCCGGTGCGTTGCTGGGGCTCCTCTGGCCCCGCTCCATCAGGTCCCTGGCTCTGCTGTGCTGAGGACTCCAGAGCTGCCCCAGCACTGCAGGGGGGTCTCCCAGAGCTGGCAGAGGGGCAGGATCCCCTCCCTGAGGGGTTGCTGAGGTTCTCTGGTTGCTCTCTTGGTTTGGACTATGGTGGGACCACAGCTGCTGTTGGTACTGTGCAGCATTGCCAGGGGGATGTGTAAAAACTGTCCCACCCTATATCAATTGACTCGATCTAGGGACATAATTACTGGAGATTTCTCAGACTTAATTAAGATAAAATAGAGACCTCAGGTACAGAAAAATGCTCTAGTTTAAACCACCATTAGATGAGTGATATGTGAGTGCCTAAAAACTTTCCCAAATAAGAATTCTTGACTGTTCTTTCTGCACAACAGGGAGGGAGTTTCAGGAGAGGTCCCACAGCAGTTTGCTACCAGCCCAACTTAGCTGAGGAACCCAAAATTAATAGCCACAGTTATTTCTGTGGTCAAAGGAGAATGGCTGTGATCTGGTCAGCAGGTTCTATCTTCTGTGGGCTGAGCTGACCTGCCTCTACCTGTGGTCTCCAGGCTGAGCTCCTGTGTTATGTGTTAGAAGGAGAAATCTGAGACATTACTCCTGCAATTTTTTTGTGCATTACAGCTTTGATTTGAAATTAACCCTTGAATTCTCAAAGTAACAGTGTTCCTCTGTGAGCCATCACCGTTGGTAGAAGGGATTGCTTTGGTCTTCTAGTTGGACTTTGAAGGAACATTTCTGCAGTTTTTTAACCCTTCATATCTAACTGCTACAAATAGAAAACTTCTTGTGGATCACTGACTCTTAAGTCAGTTAAGTATTAAACAATACTAGACTGCACATGACTTTTTTCAGCTTTAGAGAGCCCTCCAAATTTTAGCTCACCTCTTGTAAGTATTTAAGCCACCAGAGAATTGTGACTGTTACCCTGGTTTGTTCCTTCCCTCTGGCTTTCCTACAGTGTGCTTGACTCCTGGTACCAGCAGAGTTTTGCTCCTTTAGACCCGCTGACAGTCTGATGTCCTTTGATAATTGGCCACGTGGGTAAATGACTACCAAAATTTTGTCTGAACATCAAATATCTGCATGCAGAAATTGTTAAACTAAAGCATTTTTCCTCCTTTATAGCATATAATTTAATCCATTATTGCTGCCACCTTTAAAGACTGCATATGCCTGAAAGCAGAAAATTAAATAACTGTTTGCCATTAATACAAATTATTGTTTTGACAGCTTGTTAATCAGCTGAGGTGAAAATGGTGCTGTACAAAGAGCACAATTGCCTTTTAAATAACTTTTTGTGTGTGTGTGTGCATGAGAATTCTCCATGTTTGGGCCTTTGACCCTTTATAGGATTTGTCCTGTGTGAGATGTGAATATGCAGAAGCATAAATAAAGCTTTATTTGAGTTGTGCTCTGATGCAGACTGGATTTCTTGGCATAATAATGTGTAATCTTGGGAAACAGTTGGCTGTCATGTGCTATCTATAGATGTTCCTTCCATTATGGGCTGTATCTATTAATGTGCCCATGAGCAATGTTGTGTGGAGCAGATTTGGATGTAACAGTGTGTACTTTATGCAATATTCAGGTATGGGCTGTTTCTGGGGAGCTGAGAGGAAGTTCTGGAGACAGAAGGGAGTCTACTCCACTCAGGTGGGTTACGCAGGAGGACATACTCCAAATCCTACCTACAGAGAAGTCTGTTCAGGTGAGTCCTTCTCTTTGGTTTCTAAGGATTGTGAGTAGAATCCTGTGAGACTGAGTGAGAATGAAGAGTAAAATGAGTGAGTGCAGTGGCTGAAGAGATTTGGTATTTAGTCAACCATGGTTGACCTAAACTATAATGGAATCCATGGATATTTGGATGAATTTCTCTCCTGGCAGAGTGGTGAGGCCTTGGCCCAGGCTGCCCAGGGAGATGGTGGAGTCACCAGCCATGGAGGGGTTCAGAAAACGTGTGGACGTGGCACTTTAGGACATGGTTTAATGCTCATGGGAGTGTTGGGTGATGGTTGGACTTGATCTTAGAGGTCTTCTCCAACCTTAATCACTCTACAGCTCAGTGTTTCAATGGTGTGCCCAATCCCATCGTTATCTCCTAATAATGAATTAATATATAAAATACACTGAGGAAAAAAATTTCTTTGGGAAATGAATTCTGTTTCAAATCATGCAAATGTGATCCTTAGAAAAAGGATGAGTTTTGGTTTTACTTTCAGCTGTATCTGGGTATGAACAAAACCCAGAAAGCACACATTCTTTCTCTTTCTTTCCAGGTAGCCAAGAGGTTGTATGGAGAAATCTAAATTACTCATTTGAGTTGCTCTTAGTTAATGTTTTGTGCATTTCAGTGCACAGCACCGTGTCGTTTCCACACCAATCCCCTGCCTTTATTTTTCATTGCACTCATATTAATCCTTCTACAGTACTAATAACCCAATAGAGTTTCATTCTCTGATCTAAAACACAGAACCACTGGCAGCCAACTGACTAATGCTGCTCTTAAAGCAAATTCTTGCTTTCCTATTCTCACTGCTGGAGAACAGCTTGGAGGTTTTCTTTTGGTTTCTTTCCTTGTTAATGCTTTTTATGCCAAGTGCTGAAGTTGATACAATGTTCTCACTGAAAATCTGTCACAGGGGCTTGCTAGAAAGAATGGCACAAACATATAATGGACTCTTTAGCAACTCTGCAGGAGTCTGGCAGGGCATCCAAAAAAGCAGAAACTTCCTGGAAATAGGAAATATGTGAAAAGATGTTTTATGGTGGAATGGAATGGAGTGGAATGGAATGGAGTGGAGTGGAATGGAGTGGAATGGAATGGAGTGGAATGGAGTGGAATGGAATGGAGTGGAATGGAATGGGATGGAGTGGAGTGGAATGGAATGGAGTGGAATGGAATGGAGTGGAATGGAAGGGAGTGGAATGGAAGGGAGTGGAGTGGAATGGAATGGAGTGGAATGGAGTGGAGTGGAATGGAGTGGAGTGGAATGGAGTGGAGTGGAATGGAATGGAGTGGAGTGGAATGGAATGGAGTGGAATGGAGTGGAGTGGAATGGAGTGGAGTGGAATGGAGTGGAATGGAATGGAGTGGAGTGGAATGGAAGGGAGTGGAATGGAAGGGAGTGGAATGGAAGGGAGTGGAATGGAAGGGAGTGGAGTGGAATGGAATGGAGTGGAATGGAAGGGAGTGGAATGGAAGGGAATGGAATGGAGTGGAGTAGAGTAGAGTAGAGTAGAGTAGAGTAGAAATTTCAGTTGGAATGTACCTACAATGATCATCTGATCCAACTACCTGACCCCTCCAGGGCTGACCAGAAGTTGAAGCCTGTTGTTAAGGGCATTGTCCAGATGTCTCTGTTTTCTAGACAAGACTGTACTAATTAGAACTGATGCCTGTCTTACATATCCAAATGTTTTAGTACTTCCTCATACTTCTGCACTCTTGCATTTTGTACTTTCATCATTCCCCTGCACACTTATAATTTTTTATAAGCATATATCATCCCAGAGTTATATGGTAATGATTGTCCACTCTTTTTAATGGCCTGTGTATTAAATAATTAGATTCTTTGTGTAGAATAAGGATGTGCAGCAGAACTTCTCTTTCCCAACACACTACACCGAGGGTAGTTATGATGGAATTTTGAGTCTTTCTCCAAAGATCCTGAGTGCTGGCAGTTGGCCAACAAGAGAGGTGAACACAGGACAAGATGGTGTAGCCAGGCCAGGGGGAAAAAGGCACCTTCTCTTTTCATTATGTGCAGTATAGGCTGGCTTCATATTTTAGAATAGCTCCTTAGTATTCTGAGCTCTGCACTTGATGGAGACACTTTCAGAGCTTTTTTGGAGCTACTTCATGTGCTGTGTTTTATCAAGAGTGAACAAAAATAAAAATAGTAAATAATAAGAATCCTGGAATAAAGAAGTGGGAAAAATCAAGTCTATTTTCTGACAGTTTTTTTTTAGTCAGATTTGTAGTTCAAAAACACAGCTGAGGTTATTTTTCTAGGGCTTGTTTTTATACACATTTGCATTATGGATGTTTCTATGCCTCCAGATTCTGGGCACTGGAGGATTTTTTTGCTCAGAGATGTCCAGAAGCATAAACACATATTCCATAACCTTGTCTGTGTGAATATAAATGGGATGTGGCTGTGCTGCACACTCCTGTTCCTAGCTGTGCAGCTGAGCTGAGTTGGAAAATTTACTCATTTCTGCAGGCTGGGTTTTTTTCTTGCTTAGATTCCTCCAGCTCTATTTTATTCTGCTTTTTTTTTTTTTATTTTGAAGATTTTTTTTTCATCTTTGAACATACTTTTTGGAAGTCTCTTTAAGGAGAGGTCTCACAAGCTCTCCTGAGATATTGCCATCTGGCTGCTTCTGGTTGCCATAGTTTTCATTGGGAAGAGCAGTTCTTATGAGATGGTAGACCTCAGTTATGCACTGTGTGATTGCCACTTCTTTATTCATCTCTTCTGGCAAGATCATATCTATGGTAAATGCTTAACAGTCATATCCATCCAGCTCTAGAAAGGACACCAGGGCCATCTAAACAGGATCCTTTTGGCAAGTCCTTGAGCTTTGCTTTCAACCCATGAAGTCCTGAGGATCTGTGCAGGAACATTATTTCAGCCCAGCACCTTTCTGGTATTCTACTCTGAAGGGGAAAAGCAACAGTATTTTGGGTGAAACATTTAGCACTTCCTGTAAAAGCACATTATTGGCTGGACCTCAGACAAAAATGGTGTGGATTTATTCTTTTTCCCCATACTAAGGTCATTCAACACATATCAAACAGTGATGGGTTTTTTGAATCAGTTTTGATTCAGAAAACAGGAAGAATTTTAGGGTTTCTCTCTTGTCTTCCTTCTCTTAGTGTAGTTTCTAGAAAAGAAGTCTCATGTTGCTTAATACAAGTCTGTTTTCCTCACCAGTGGTGTTCATTTCTTCTGCCATGATCTTCATTGGATGGACCTCACTGGGTAGCACAAAGTGATCTGCAGATTGAGTCTTCAAATGTGGGGGGTCAGCAGTTCTCTTACTGTTCCAACGCTGTGGTGGCACCCATGAAACCTCCATCCTCATCAGAGCAGCACCATTCACCTCTCTGCTGGGGGGGCAGGAGAATCCTGATTCTCCTTGGGAGGGTCAGTCTGGTGTCACCCTGTCCAGATGTGGGACAGGCCATTTGAAGAGTCTCCTCTCCGTTGCTGCAGCTTTGCCTCACTAAATTGAGATTTAAGAGCTAACTGAGTTACTTTAAAGCTTCTGGATGCACTGCTGGAAATGATATTTTCCATTTTGTGGAGCCAACCATGCAGATGAGGATTGGAGGAGGCGTTGTGGAGGGCGTGAAGGATTTTCAGCTATTTTGGGTGCATCAGCGTAATACATAAATACCCCATTTTTGGCCAGCATTAGACAACCCAGGATGTTCATTCAGGACGAAACATCTTTTCACATTTTGCTTACAGATGTTCAGAACAATTCTGTTTCTCTGTATATTCATAAGCTTTTAGAAATCTGCATAGCTCGAGTGGCACTGAAATCAGAAGGGAAAAAACTCTGCAGTTGTTATTCATAAACTGGTTATGTACAATTACCATCTAAAATATGCAGCTAATGATGATTTTATTAAAAACTGGGCAGTTTATAGGCTTGTGGTTCAAGCTGTTAATGTCTAAGCAGGTGATTTTGTTTTCCTTTGGGTTTTTTTTCTCCTTTGTCTGACTGTAAAGTAAGACAAATAGATGGAGATGCCCATTTGTTAGCTGATATTAGTTAGAAGGCTTAGTGAACCTAACAGTGTATTTAGTTAAACCAATTTGTAATCTAGTCAGTTCTCTAGCACCTTTCTGAAGCAAATTCTCTTCTACACCAGTCCCATTTTCTTAATAATGAACAATGGAATAGGAAAGTAAACTACAAGACTTAGGCTGTGTGTTGAGTTATATAAAACACTTCCTTGTGAAGTTCTTTCACATTTCCTATGCACCAAACCCACGTTTTTCTGAGGAGTTGTATTGCCTCTTGAATACCAATTAGTATTTTGACTGATTCTTATATGTAGGAGTTCCAGCTCTCCTTAAAATGTCTAGGCTTCCAAAGGTCATCTGGAAGACTTCTAAATAGCTGATGGAAGAGGATGGAGAAAGGCAAAATTAATTTCTTGCTCTGTTACCTCCTATCCCTTCGGTCAGTTGGTGATTTACAAAGTTAATTCCATCTCTACTTCATCTTAGAGTTGAAAGAGAGAGCAAGACAACCAGTGGAGTCCACAGGAGGTTGGTGGCTGGCATGATGTTGCTTTAAGAAAGGAGGTGCCTGAGGAGGAGTTGATATGGGGCTGATTTGACACACTTATGCATAAACAGTGTGATCATTAAAGCCAACAACAGAAGATCTGACTGGCAATTTTCACAAGTTATTAATAGCAACCCAGAGAAAATGGGATATGGGAAAATATTTCCTTCTCAGATTTCCTGTTCTCCACAAAATACAGATGAAAGCCCTTTGACAAACCATCAGCACGTTGAGACAGTGCCTTGTGTTATTTGAGAAGCCCTTCATTTAGACATCTCTGTTCCAAAAATAGTGACTCTGACTCTCCAAAATCCTTAAATTAAACCACAAATATTCCCCTTGCTTTCTGTAGCTTATAAAGGTATCTGAAGGTTTCCATCAACAGCAGCTAAGTCCACGAGA